TCACGAACCGATCGCAATTTGATGACGTCAACGCGTGACAATGCACATGATACGTGGGAACATGTCATCGCTGGTGTGGAAATGCTATGACGTTTTGAGAAACAATTAAAAACTTGCCATTTGTCGTGTATGTTTTGCATGATGATATGATGAATGGATGGTTCATTTTTAACAGCAGATTCAGTGATGTTAGAGCTGATCTGCACCTCACTGCACACGTCTGCGGCACATTATGGCTCCACGGGAACCGGAGCTGATCGCGGCTGCTCTAGTCAGTGGCTCTCCGTGCTGCTTGGCTAAAAATAGCGATTAGGAAATCGAAGAAATCGTTCTGTGATTATGAAAGCTGTTTGCGTAGCTTGTCAGTGAACTACGGCTCTGTGTAAGTAAATGTTGCTCCTTCTGAGAGCATGTGAAAATACCACATTTAATAACATGTTTTTACTCCAAACTCACTTCATAACGTCGGACGAGTGTTTGAAATAAATCCTTCTGTGAGATGATGTGGCTTCTTACACAGAAGGCACGCAACATATTTCATAGTATTTTAAGCAGTGATAAAGGCTATGTTGATTAGCACTGCATTACTTTACTATAATAAAATACTTTATATAATAAAAAATATAATAAGACGAACTCGGATAAAGCATATATTTTCGCAGTCATGTGTTTATTAATCACGTTGACTCAATGAAAGCAGTTAAATCTTCTGTTTATTCAGCAACCGGATTTCCTGGAGTTCTTCTGCAGGGCGTATTTGGAGTTTCCGCGCAAGAGCGCCCTCTGGCCTTCGGATGGAGATTTACTACTGATCACAGAACCGTACTTCCCTGACAAGATGCGCATTACAATCACAGCATTTGCCAAATCGCAATTGCGATTTAATTTCGATTAATCGTGCAGCCCTAGTGGAAGCCCAATCTCCTCACAACCATCAACAGACAATATGTTCAGATTAACAAGAACAGTAGTTCAGCACATCTGTCTTTATTTCTTTGGTCAGGTAGTTTAGTCCTGAGGGTCAATTTGGGATATTTTCCCACAGCTCTCATACTCGTGTACCTGGGTGTGCATACAAGAACACAGTCTCATCTTGGAAACATATGTGGCATGATGACATCAGACCCACAATGCAGTGAGCACACAAGTGCACGTGTGCACCCCCCCCCCCCCCCCCCACCACCCAACACACAACACCCACAACCACACCTCCCGCCAAGAACAATA